ATGTATTGACCCTGAAAAAGATGGACAACATTTGTTAGATATACTAATGTGGTAAAAAACTTGCTGTGGTATAATTTTAAAATTGAAGGGCATTATATATGGAGCATGTTAACGAGGATTGATTATTTACTTATTAACTTCAATCAAAATAGCTTTGGTTGGAAACATAAAGATTCAAAAATTTTGATTTTTGGGTTTGTTTTTCTTTAATTATTAACTAATATTAAGCCCGTGTTTGATCTCCATTCTTTGAAAAAAAATGTATTTTTAAAAAAATATTTTGACATCATTTTAACTATACATTCTTCAATAAAAATAAGATTATATGCAAATTCAATTTTTTTATTTTATTTTTTAACCATACATTTTTAAACAATATACTATTCAAAAATGTATTTTTCTCCTCAAAACGGGACTCAAACAAGGGCTAAGTAATTAAGAAGCAAGTAATTCTTAAGATCAACCTAGTTACTAAATGCACTATCCTCTAGGATTTCGAATCCACCGTTGTCAATCAATTCCACATCAATGGTCACTTCCTGTTTCATGTTGACAATTAATATTTCTTAAAGTTGCTAATTTTTTTTCTTGGATAAATTATGATAATCCTTTCATGTGATCATGCTATATCTCTAAGAAAAATACGATAAGTAAAACAAAACTACAATATCAATCCAAATTAAACTAATCACAAAGTACATAATGTTTATGGTGATGGAACTCTTTCGAGGCTGGTATGGTGCTAACTTTATTTAAAGCTTTCTTGGATACTAACCAAGTTTTTGTCACACACGTCGCTTTATTCTGGCAAACAATAGAAAAGGGCTAGCACACTTCATACATGAAAATGAAACTGCAGATGTTTTATATGCGTCCTATTTCGAAAACCTTTCCCGGTCGTGTGGAGCAGAGTAGTCGATATTTGGACCGTGAGGGATGATTCCAAACGGATTGATAGAAGGATGGCTTCCATAATAATGCCTCTTGATGTGTTCCATGTTGACCGTGCTGCTTGCACCGGGGATTTGGAATATGTCTTTCGTGTAATTGAAGAGATTTGGAAATTCACGCAGTAACTTCTTGTTGCATTTGAAGTGAACCGCATAGACCTGTAACAGAAGAAGATTTTATTTCATAACTTCTGCATTTTCTCATATAGAACTCAACAAGTTATTCCAGTTTTCTACTTGACTCCTTATGGAGATCATTATTCATTTACTTAATTGAGAAATTAATCCACTAATTCTCAAACCGCTGATGATATGG